GCATGAGGGGAATGGAATGCCATCTCCAAGAAGCAGATGGTGAGCAAAGTCATAGATTGTAGTCTCAAGGGCTGGTTCACTTTTCTTGCATTCATTCACATAACCCATAAGTATCATTTTCTGATCCAATGCCTGTAACAGACATCATTAATTGATCTTAGAACCAGTTCTTATAGAGATTGAACCTGGCCTCATAATTGTTCTAAATAGTGACCAAATCAGTTAATCAACCTTAATATAAAAGGCAGTATTTTCAGTCACATCCGATGTGGCTCTTATCTCTAATTCCATGTGGCCAATGCACAGATATATGCACTTGCTAATAACAAAGCAGATATTGTTTTTAAATGTTTTTAGAAATCTATAGTGCTATTATAAGAAAACATCATAAAGCTTGTTTCACTGCAGGGATAATCAGGTATACCAGTTAAAACACACAAATATGAAGGAATTCCTTGTGGCCAATGCACAGATAATATGCACTTGCTAATAACAAAGCAGATATTGGTTTTTATATGTTTTTAGAAATCTATAGTGCTATTATAAGAAAATGTTGCAAAGCTTGTTTCACTGCAAGAATAATCAGGTATACCAGTTAAAACACACAAATATGAAGTGGAACTATAATAGTTTTTCTAAATCTTCTCAGTTTTAAAAGGTCAACCTTGGTTTTTCTATGGTGGATGCAAAGTTTAATAATGACATTTAAAGCAATTTCATAGTGCTTTTATTTTAGCACTGACAAAAGGCAACAAAGTACTAATAATCTCAGGTAGACTTGTATCAAAGTATATTCAAGGTTAAAAAGTAAACAAGGATTAAAATAATCTTATTCAAAGAATGGTGTGATTTTCATAAACCTACTGTTAAACAAAAGTAAATATAAAATGATAATAGAATTACTGACTTAATTGAACTAATTACAGAGTACAAGTGTCTATAAAAGCAAATTATTATAAGGATCATCTAAAATTATTTTAAAGGACTTTATTACTAGAGGCCTGGTGGACAAATTCGTGCACGGGTGGGGTCTGGCCAGCCCACCCCAATCGGGGCTGATCGGGGCAAGCCAGCTTGGGAGAGGGGACACGGGAGGTTGGCTGGCTGGCCACAACCCCAATTGGGCAGGTTGGCCAGCCACAGTGTGCATCATAGCAACTGGTTGTTCTGGTCAACCAGTCACTTGGCTTTTATATATATAGATGTGTATTTATTTTTTGAGTGGGCATATAATGCAAAATAATATGATAAAATGTACAGAAGTCTCCACTTTAAAAATTTAAAAAACAGGCAAAGCTAATCAATGGCAGTTGAATTGAACATACTGGCTACCTATATGGAGTGGGGAAGTGACTGTGGAGGATCAGAATGTGGTTCTGAATTCCTGGTAATGTTCTGTTTCTCAAGCCAAGTGACAATAACACAGGTGCATTTACTTTGAAAATCCTTTATACTGTACAATTCTAATTTGTATGGTTTTCAGAATGTGTAATAAATGTCAATATAAAGTATACTTAAAAACATATGCACTACAAAGTATGGTTCCCAACCATGACTTTATCTTCTCTATCCTGTGCCTCTCACAGTTAACTGTTTCTTATGCATTCTTCTCTGATTTTCTTCCATCAAACAAAGCAAATAATATACATTCTATTTCTCTTGTTTTCCTACCTAAAATGTAGCATGTCATACACTTTATTCTAGATCTTTTTTTCACTTCTTACCATATTTTGCAATATCAGCATGCATACAGCTCCTGCACTTTTTAAATAGCTGCACAGTATCCCACTGGATGATAATCCCATAAACACATATTATGGACTATTTTTGCTTTTCAATCCTTTGCTACTATTAAAAAATTATCCTGTGAATAGCTAGAGGTACAGGACACGCAGGGTCCAGATACTGCTTGTCTGAGAGATTTTAGGAAAGTCTGAAGCATGAACCAAGACAGACCATTCATATGGTAAAGCCACTGGATATGCATTGGGTGAGGTGAAGTCTCAGGGAATCACCAGGGTGGGGCCAGGTTGATGGAGACTCAGCTGACAAAAGGCAACAAAGTACTAATAATCTCAGGTAGACTTGTATCAAAGTATATTCAAGGTTAAAAAGTAAACAAGGATTAAAATAATCTTATTCAGAGAATGGTGTGATTTTCATAAACCTACTGTTAAAAGTAAATATAAAATGACAATAGAATTACTGACTTAATTGAACTAGTTACAGAGTAAAAGTGTCTATAAAAGCAAATTATTATAAGTATCATCTAAAATTATGTTAAAGGACTTTATTACTAGAGGCCTGGTACACAAATTCGTGCACGGGTGGGGTCTGGCCAGCCCGCCCCAATCAGGGCTGATCAGGGCAAGCCAGCTGGGGAGAGGGGACACAGGAGGTTGGCTGGCTGGCCACAACCCCAATCGGGCAGGTTGGCCAGCCATAGTGTGCATCATAGCAACCGGTTGTTCTGGTCAACCAGTCGCTTGGATTTTATATATATATAGATGTGTATTTATTTTTTGAGTAGGCATATAATGCAAAACAATATGATAAAATGTACAGAAGTCTTCACTTTAATTTAAAAATTTAAAAAACAGGCAAAGCTAATCAATGGCAGTTGAATTGCACATACTGGCTACTCATATGGAGTGGGGAAGTGACTGTGGAGGATCAGAATGTGGTTCTGAATTCCTGGTAATGTTCTGTTTCTCAAGCCAAGTGACAATAACACAGGTGCATTTACTTTGAAAATCCTTTATACTGTACAATTCTAATTTGTATGGTTTTCAGAATGTGTAATAAATGTCAATATAAAGTCTACTTAAAAACATATGCACTACAAAGTATGGTTCCCAACCATGACTTTATCTTCTCTATCCTGTGCCTCTCACAGTTAACTGTTTCTTATGTATTCTTCTCTGATCTTCTTCAATCAAACAAAGCAAATAATATACATTCTATTTCTCTTGTTTTCCTACCTAAAATGTAGCATGTCATACACTTTATTCTAGATCTTTTTTTCACTTCTTACCATATTTTGCAATATCAGCATGCATACAGCTCCTGCACTTTTTAAATAGCTGCACAGTATCCCACTGGATGATAATCCCATAAACACATATTATGGACTATTTTTGCTTTTCAATCCTTTGCTACTATTAAAAAATTATCCTGTGAATAGCTAGAGGTACAGGACACGCAGGGTCCAGATACTGCTTGTCTGAGAGATTTTAGGAAAGTCTGAAGCATGAACCAAGACAGACCATTCATATGGTAAAGCCACTGGATATGCATTGGGTGAGGTGAAGTCTCAGGGAATCACCAGGGTGGGGCCAGGTTGATGGAGACTCAGATATAGTCCCTGCCTGCTGGCTCTGTCAGGGGGAGGCTCTGAAAAGGAACAATGGCCTCTTCCAGTACTTCTGGCTGGGAAAAAGCTGTCCCTCCAGCTCTTGCCCTGATGCTGGACAATTCAGTTCCTCCCTGTATGTCCCTGATGACTTTGAAGGTGCTCCCACAGTGCAGGAGCTCAGAATAAATGAGTATAAGTCAGTGATGGCGAACCTTTTGAGCTCGGCGTGTCAGCATTTTTAAAAACCCTAACTTAACTCTGGTGCCGTGTCACATATAGAAATTTTTTGATATTTGCAACCATAGTAAAACAAAGACTTATATTTTTGATATTTATTTTATATATTTAAATGCCATTTAACAAAGAAAAATCAACCAACAAAATGAGTTCGCATGTCACCTCTGACACGCATGTCATAGGTTCGCCATCACTGGTATAAGTCCATGCATTGACCCTTTAAGACAGTGGTCGCCAACCTTTGGACCTCACAGACCACCAGTGGTCCGTGGACCACCAGTTGGTGACTGCTGCTTTAAGAGAAACCCCGGGGACTTCAGCAGTCTTCTTCCTCACCCAGCCAACATCCCCACTGGTTTTTATAGCCAGAAGTTATGGGAACTTCTCTTCCTGGCAGTGGAACCCTGGGCTGGGGGGGCCTGATGTGGAGCTTGGAACCCTGGTTCCTCAGGGGATCCCTCCACAAGCCACAATTTCCCTCCCAATTTTTATCTGCCACACTTGGGTGTGGAACCAGCCCATTCAGCATCTTCATCCCTCCTACCAATCTCAATGTCTTCTTCTTTATATCTTTAGCTGTAGGACTTCTGTTTAGCTACATTTCAGGCAGTTCTGAATGATGGTTGTTCTGTAGTTTAGTTGTAATTTTGATGTGGTTGTGGGAGGATGCAAGTACCGAGTTTACCTGTGCCGCCATCTTGACAGGAAGCCTAAACTTTGTTTCTTATATGAAACTTCATTAAATAATAATTAAGTATCTTTTAACACTCCTTTTTCCCCACTGTCATTCATATATTTGGAATTGTATTATTTATTTAATATTAAATGATGCCTATACAGATTTTAAAGAAATTATAATGTATGTCTTTAAAAACTAAAATCACAGATTATGAACTATGATGGTATAATAATAAGTATTAGGGGGGAAACTAATTTGTTATGGTGACTTTACAAATTAACAGACTTCTGATATACTTTTCCCATAAAAGTCTCACATACCCTCACTTACCAGAGCACCTGTGCTGAGCAAAGTGACAAGGCCAATGAAACACTTAAAAAAACTGTTTTCTACAATCTTGCAGCAGGTTTTCCTTATGTTTCGCCAAATTTTTCCTCTCTTGGATTCTCTACTAATTTGACCTGGTGAAGATCTTCGTTCATAACCTGTCAAGAATAAAACTGTTAAAAAAAATCTTGACAATTCATGAAATAAATAAACATCTCAAAGTTTCTACCATGTGCTTTACAGAATCTAATATAGGTGGTCTCTGACTTACAAGCATTTGATTTTTACCCCTGCTGTACTGAACACTGCAATCACTGAGGAAAAAACACAAAAACTTAACTTGTGATTTGGTAATTAAAAGAAATTATGAAAGGCAGAGATGACTCAGCACATTCCCTAAACCTGCAGGACAAAGTCTGAGAGTAGAATTTATCCCCTACTAGTACTACTACTTCTACAAAAAAATTTTTCTTTTAATCACACACATACAACATCTTCTGAATATCACATTGATATAACACCTGAAAAGGCATTCTCTGGAGATTCCCATGGCATAACAAGTATTCCCATTTAAATTCGCAAATATTTATTAAATGTCAAGAGGTATTAATATCAGTTAAATTGATTTCAATTCTTAGACGGTATGCAAATGGGAATTTTGTTTGAGATTAGTTGAGGAGCTAACCTAGATGATGGAGTACTTTGTGAGTAGGGTACATGTGCATGGGTTTTGAACTCTATTTTCTGGTCAAGAGAGTTAGCATAAGAAAACCTAAGGAGAAGAGAGTGATTAACCTGTTAAAAAAAAATGAGGAAATGGTGATGGGTGGAGTTTAAATCAACACTTACTATTTTAGAATTTTACCTAATATCAATGTATATGTCTTTGGTCAAATTTAAAAAAAGGAAATAATTCTTCCCTTGTTTTGGATGAAACAAGTCCTACAACTCAGCTACTAAGAGCAGATGCTTATTTTGAGTATAGAAATTTGAGCATTTAGCAGTTTCCATTTTGATGATGTCCAGTCATTTCAAAGGACTAGAACCTGTAGCCATTTGTTAATCTTCCTAGGAGACTACTTTTAATTATAAGTCATTAAGAGATGTATGTTACATATCTTGTGAGTCAACCAACTGAAGCCTTATATTTTTCTTAATATTCATGTGGAATGTAAAAATATATCACTATTACATGATTTGTTTTTCTATGAAAGTTAAGGATGCTTTCATATGAATATTTAAATGTTGACTCCATTCCACAAAGCATAAAAATACATATACACATAACCCTAATTCAATTTTTTTTAACAATCCTATAAAGTAAGTTTTGTTATTACCTTCATTTTACATATAAGGAAATGAGTCAGAGAGAGGGTAAAAGTAGAGCCCTGGGATTTGAATTCAGGCTCTCTGATTCCAGAGTCCACACTCTTTTTTTTAATAATTATTTTTAATTTTTATTGATTTCAAAGAGGAAGGGAGAGGGAGAGAGAGACAGAAACATCAATGATGAGAGAATCATTGACTGGCTGCCTCCTGCACCACTAGGGACTGTGCCCGAAACCCTGGCATGTGCCCTTGACTGGAATTGAAACTGGGACCCTTCAGTAGGCAGGCTGACGCTCTATCCACTGAGCCAAATCAGCTAGGGCAACAGCCCACACTCTTAACTACTGCATTAGATTCCCTAGAAAGTAGCCCCATTTTCTTTTTTCCAAATGTTGACTTTTTTTCTTGATATTTATTTTTGTTTTCTATCAGGATTCAGATGGGCATGTGCACACATGTGTGTGCACACACACTGTGTGTATTCCTTAGCCAAATTAAGAAGTTTTCTAAAATTAAAAATATATCCAATAGTATTATTTAGGTTAAGAGAAACTTAGTCTAATCTATACTAATAGTCCCGGATTGTGAGAGGTTTAAACCAGCAGTCGGACATCCCCCGAGGGGTCCCAGATTGGAGAGGGTACAGGCCAGGCTGAGGGACAAATCCCCCCTCCCCCCCGCTGCCCATGCATGAATTTCATGCACCAGGCTACTAGTTGCAGTATAATATCCAAAGGAAATTTTTCTTACTGTTTTTAGGATGCTTTGGCTTCTCATGTTCATTGATCATTTCTTCTTCTTCAGAGATAGCAATATCAACTGTACTGCATTCAGATGAGCTAGATGGCTTTACCTTCTGAAAAGGAAAGTCCCACCAAAAATGTTAATAAAGTTTCATTCACTCACTGTAGTTACAGTTTATCTCATTTTTAGAAATAAGAAAATTATGCACATGAATACCATTATCAGGTTTAAAAGATTTTAGGCCAAGTTCATGATTAATATTAAAATGTGTATATAGCTCTGTGATTGGTGATGTTAAAATTATTTTAAAAATTAATTTAAGATAAAATAATTTTTAAAATTTAATTGACATTTATTTTTTATTTTATTTTTTCCATCACCACTTCAAAAAGAAAAAAAAAAGATAAAATACATTTTAAATTAAAATTGACATTTAGTTAATAACATCTCCCAAATGATGTATAGGCTAACTCCAATTTCCAAAAGGATTTGCGTTCCAAAGTTTTCTTGAAGTTATTCACAAATTTTCCAGTATGCTATTTCAATTAGATGAATAGCATCAGAATAAATCACCCCTTGATGCTAAAGATGGGCAGACAAGGGTGTACTTAGTATTTACTGTAAAATCCAGTCCAGACATTCTTAGGTATTTCATCATACAGTGAGACTGATGGAGGTTATCCTGAAGCGAAATGACGAAATGGCACAAGGAATAGGGTCAATAATAGACCTGGGAAAGTGGTACCAGGACTATGTAAAAAGGCTAGTTGCAGAGATTGACATTTCCCCCCACTCTATTCTTGACTGAAGTTCAAGACTGGCTAGGATAAGGTAGTCATGACTTTGTACATGTGGTAACAATGCAAGTGCCATGCTTGTCCTCTACTTAAAATGATTTCCCCACAATGCTTTCTTGCACCTTACTGAAAAGTGGACATACAGCATATCATCTTTTAAAATGACCAAGATCCCAAAGTTAATAGCATATCAAATCATTTTCTAATTTTAAAAATTAAAATATGTGTTTAAAACATTTGGAAGAAAATCAATCTTATTTCTTAAAAATTAAGGAAAGCTCTAGTAGATTATGTAAAAAGGAAATTATAAATATTTTGTCCTACTTCTTCCTCTTATGCACAAAAAGTGTTAATCAATACAATCAGGAAGCTTTGTTTGCTTAAACCTTAATGGCAATTGTCAGTAAGACAGTATGGTGCTCAATTTAAAAAATACGTCCAACTGAATATTCCTCTTAAATAAATCATTTTTATAATTTAATTTCCCTTAAATTTCCTTTATTTCTGATTAACTAAAGGCTATAGCCATGCACTGATTTAGATGAAGACAATAAACAAATTAATATTATATTTATTTTTTTTTTAGAGTTCTTAAAACCATTGCACCTAAACACTTTGATGTGATTTTTTCCAAACTCCTTTTAGTATGTATTATTTTAAATTTACAAATAAATCAATTAAGATTCAAAATTATATATAACTTATTTTAGTAGAAGATTTAATGGCATGAAAAAATAGCCATGATATATTGCTACATAGTGAAAAGTTATAAAACCCAATTTAAAGTTTGATGTTATTGTTATAAAATTTAGTTACATATTTGTAATGTAAAAGGCTGAAAGTTTAAATACCAAAGAAATGAGAGTATATATCTCTGAATTACCACATGTGATTTCTATATTTTATTCTTTGGCACCTGGTATATCAACATCCTAGGTACTCATGAGCTATGTAATCTGGAAAGTGTCTAATTAAATTAAATATGTAACTAAAAACATACAAATATGTGCACAAATCTATGAGTAGCTAACCAATCAATAGAACCAAATAAGTATGCAGCATAAATTACAAACTTCTGCAACCTCAACATATCCAATTATATTTCATTTCTTCCTTCCTTTACCTTTTTATATCATGGACTTTTTAATGAGATTTGGAAAGGAGTTTCCAAGAACATCTTTATATGATGTGCTGTGATAAATAGAAATTTTACAGAGATGGATGATAGTCAAAGTCTTAAGTAAAGATATAGAATTGTGCTGGAGAGGAATTTTCTCTGGGTCTCATAATGGTATTATTTTTTTTAAAAAAAGAAGAAGAACCTGAGCCTGGCTGGTGTGGTTCAGTGGTTGAACATTGACCCATGAACCAGGAGGTCAAGGCCCATGCAGGTTTTGTGGGCTTGATCCCCACTAGGGGGCATGCAGGAGGCAGCTGATCAGTGATTCTCTCTCATCATTGATGTTTCTATCTCCCTCTCTCCCTCTCCCTTCTTCTCTCTGAAATAAATAAAAGCATACTTAAAAAAATATTTAAAAAAAAAAAAAAGGAATCTATGAGCCCAGCCGGCTTGGCTCAGTGCTTGAGCATTAACCTATGAACCAGGAGGTCACGATTCAATACCCAGTCAGGGCACATGCCTGGGTTGTGGGCTTGATCCCCAGGGTGGGGCATGCAGGAAGCAGCCTATCAATGATTTTATCTCATCATTGATGTTTTCATCTCTCTCTCTCCCTCTCCCTTCCTCGATGAAATCAATAAAAATAAAAATAAAAAAGGAATCTGAGATTGAGTATGCTGAAGAGTGAAAGTTTCTTTAAAACAAAGATGCCTTTACTAAAAGCTAGAAACCCTCTGAATAATTGAAATTCAACCCCTTCTATAAGGCCAGTTTCAGAAGTTATTGCCCATGGTGGCTGCCAAGCCAGAAGAGGTTTGGAAGATAAGATGGTGCTGGAGAGTTTGGGGACCTGTAAAGAGACATCCGTTGCCTGTCTCTCCCTGGTGTCTATGAGAAATCTGAGAGGAGTTCTTCGTGAGTTTCAATGCAAAAAGCCCACAGTGCCATTGTGATCTAGGTAGATTGTAGCTTTCTATTAAACTATATCTCCTACTAAGACATTATGCTGCTTTCAAATGAATACAGTAAAACTGTATCCAGTACGATGTATGTACACATGTGAAAAGCAAGTGAACAGCAATATCTACCCTTCTTTTAAAGTCCCCCCCCCCTTTTTTTTTTGGTCCAGGAGTTTATAAAGCTACAACTGTTCCCAAATCAAACCGTTGGTTTCTCTCTATTCATTAGTCCAATTTAATTACATATGTTATAAAATATGTTGCAGAAATGAACTGACAAGAATCTTACAATTTTAGCAAGCAATAATGTATCTTAGCGTGTTGTAGTCCAATCTCACAATTTAAAGATGCCTAGAAGAGTTTAATGATTTCTCCAGTAGTACAAATTGATTTTGAAAATTTAGTTTTCTTCAGTATGCTTAACATCACCCCACACTGCCTGTTTATTAATATATATATTATTTTATCATGATATTATCCAATTTTTGTGAAGTGCTTACTATATTATGGGCATTGTTATATGCACTACTGTTCTTAATCTTTCTATCTTTTATTATTTTTTTCTTTTTTAATATATTTTATTGATTTCAGTGAGGAAAAGAGAGGGAGAGAGATAGAAACATCAATGATGAGAGAGAATCATTGATTGGCTGCCTCCTGCATGCCCCACACTAGGGATCAAGTCTGCAACACCTGCATGGACCCGGACCTGGGAATAGAACAATGACCTTTTGGTTCATAGGTCAACGCTCAACCACTGAGCCAGTCTGGCTGGGAAATCTTTCTTTCTATTAGAAATAGATACAATTTTATCCTCATCTATAAACTGAAGTTTATAAAGTTTAAGCAGCTTGATCAAGATCATAAGATCAGGAGTAAAGAGTGCTATTGCTAGGATTGAATGGGCAATGTAACTCTGGAACTTCAGTGCTGATTCACCTTCATATCAACAATGCCCTAAATTAATAATAAGCAATCCAGATATTGAAATATCTTACCTCTTTGCTGCTGCCGTAACCTGACTTGCTCTGAATCTCCTTATTATCCAGATTTTCTATATCAGATTCTCCGGAAGCAATTGGTACAGTTTCGGAGGCACTAGGACTGGGGATAAGTGACTCACTCTCATTTTCAGTCACTGTGGTTTTCTCTGTGCCACTGCTTTTTCCCTTGTCCTTGAGGACATCTTCAGTGTTGCTCAATTCAGAAAGAGTATGGCCAGAAATATTCTCTTTAACATGTGTGTCATTTACATTGTCCACTGTGTCCTTGGGAACATTTAGTCTTTTACATAATATTTTAGAAAGCACATAGCATATCCCTTTTTTAATTCTTGCCATTGCACACTGGAGATTTTTGGCTTCTTCATTCTCTGCATGCGTTGCAGCATTGCATGAGCTAAAGGAGATCACCAAAGCCAGAAACAGGTAAAGTATCTAAAAGAAGAAGTAAATGAGGTTAAGTGAATCTCATTTTTTCACCTGAGATTTGAAAACAGCATATTAACTACAATACTATTCAGTTCTTACTCATCTATAATGGGTCAGGTGCTGTGCTAGAGATTTGTATAGCAAGCACTCAACTGAAGGTCACAACGTTCTATGAAATATTTGTTTCTCTTTTCTAGAGGAAACAGGCAAGTTTTATAGATGTTAAATATCAAAGGTCACACAGATTGAATTCAAGTCTGTTTTATTTCAAAGCTTGTTTTCTTTTACTGAGCCAAGCAACCTCTGGCAAGGTGAGAAAATGAATTGCTACTCAAAGTGGCTGACTTCAGTTCTACCCCAGATGTATAATGATATCTTCTTGGATTCTGCAAACCCATAGGGAATCTCATTGGGAGGCATCTACTCCTGGTTCTGTGGCCCACATCTAATATTTCTGGACCCATGCAAGCATAGGGATTGGGTAGGTTAATTGATTACTTTTAGTAATAATTTTGGCCAAATAAGAGACATAATAGAAAAATTATTATTAATAATACTTGCAAGTTATTCAAACTTTATGATAATATATATTTTGATTTTACTATCACTAAGAAATATGATCTATGTATGTTCAGTTCCCAGAGAATCAGATTTTTATCTTGTTTATAGTTATAAGGTATAGATGCTGTTTTTGGATTCTAGTGTTGAAGATTAACATCAATTATTCTCTTAGACTTAAAGTAATAATTTAAGGTAGTTGGTTGTTTCTTTTTCCCTGCCACCTCCCCCCTTCGTTTGGTTAAGTATTAGGCATGGTGACAAATAAGAAAAGGGTGTTAGGTAAGGATTTCATGACTATAAGCTTCATAAGAGCAGGAGCCACATTTTCTCTTAAGTAGACAACTAGCACAATGTGAAGCACAACCTTAGTGAAAAACAAATACATGTTGAAAATGAATTAATTGTAGAATAAATAAAAGAATAGATTTTGTGCCAGAATTTGGACAAGGAAAATTATGCTACAACAATTATATGTTTAAAAGCCTACAATCTGAAATTTTTTATATCATGGATACACACATACACACACACAATTACCCACACACACATATACATGCATACATATATATATATGTACTAGGAATGTCACATATGAAAATAAAGTTCAAAATACACTGGAACTTTGGGACAAATGAAGAACTTTTACACTGTAGAGTGTAAAAGCTTTATTCAAGTGTGCACTGAACTTAAAATAGCCTGGTCACTTGAAGGATTAAAAACGAAAAACAGGATGTGTAAATGACCAAAGCTATGGAGGATTCATGACCTCTCCTAATTTGAGGAGTAATAAAGAAGGAAGGGGAAAAAACATAAATTATACTATAAACTTAGGGTTACTTTTTTTCAGTCACAGTGTTATAATGAAAGTCAAACCATATATTTATTGCTTTTGGGTTAAGAGATGAAAGGTGAAGTAATATATATAAAACAAAACAGTGGGGTCTAACTTATCAGGTTATTATTATTTTTTTAGTCTTTTGGGAAATGTACTTAATCTCTATCACTTATGAGAAAAAAGCAAATATTTGAGTCCTGTTTTTCTCCCGTAATAAATTTTTCTTTTATAAGCCATTCCTTTATCTTAGAAAAAGTAAAAGCTACTTACTCAATTCATGTAGTACCACTTCAATGATTGGATATTTAAAAGTGAAAGCTTTCTCTCTTAGTTAATTAATGCATAACAGTTTTATAGAACACTGCTTTTCAAATTTTGCTGCACAATTTAATCAAATAAATATTCCTAAAAAATCCTGATGTCCATGTGTCAATAAAATCAGGATCTTTGGGAATGGATCCAAGGCATTATATTTTTATTAATTCTATAGATAATTCCAACATACATTCAAGTTTGACAATTAGTGTTATGCATAAGTGGTTCTTAAAATCTAATGTGCATACAAATCACCTGTGGATATTGTTAAACTGTAGATTCTGCTCCCATAGGTCTGGGTTCTGAGAGTCTGCTTTGATAACTATCCCCCACATGATGCCAATGCTACTTTGAGTAGCAAGGTTATAAACCACTGTTATCCAATAGAAATATGATGCACGTCACATTTTTTCGGTAGCCACATTCAAAGCATAAACAAAAACAGTTAAAATTAATCTACTAACATTTAATTTAACTAAATTTATAAAAATATCATTTTAAAATGCAATTCAATAAAAATCATATATATGTATATATACGACCCTAATATGCAAATAGACCGAACAGTGGAACAACCAAACAACCGGTCGCTATGACATGCACTGACCACCATGGCGCGCTTGCGGAACATGGCGGGCGTCAGTCGCAGCAGGATGGTAGAGCAGGTGAGCAGGGGCACCAGACTAAGACAAGGCACCAATCGCTGTCATAGGGGCGAGCCTCTGGTGGTTACTGAAAATTCTTTGCTCCTGTGTGCCGCGGTCCTGCCTCACGCTTATACCTGCTGCCGGTGCTGGCCCTGCCCGCACCCACTGCCAGCGCCCGACACTGGTCCCGATCACTCGGCACCATCAGCGGGTGCGAGCGGCCGCTGCTGTCCTGATTGCCCCTCAGGGCTTCTTCACCTCTCGCACCCACTGCCAGCGCCCGACACTGGTCCTGATCACTCGGCACCATCAGCGGGTGCGAGTGGCCGCTGCTGGCCCGATTGCCCCTCAGGGCTTCTTCACCTACCCCTGCTCCTGAGGGGCGTCCAGGGCTGGCAGCTGCTACTCGCACCCACTGCTGGTGCCAACCCCCTCGCACCTGCAGCTGGTGCCAGAGCTGCTGCTCGCACCCACTGATGGCACTACCCTGCTTGCACCCGCTGCTGGTATTAGCCCCAATCGCTCTGTGCCATCAGTAGGTGCGAGCAGGGCTGGAGCCATCAGACCATGGGAGCTGTGGAGGCGGGGATGGGGCTGCTGGCAGACAGGGGACTGGGGACCGCAATGGGAGGAGCTGGGTGGGGTCGCGGAGGAGGGCTGAGACCTGCTCCTGTGCCCACTACAGCCTTATGGCCCACAGTTACTTTCAAGGTGCAAGAATTCGTGCACCAGGCCCCTAGTTATTAATAAAGTAATTTACCTACTTTTTTGGGTAAGACTTATTAAATCCAGTGGATAGTTTTACACTTGGGGCATACCTCAAATTAGACCACTCATATTTCAACTGACCAGTAGCCACATGTGGCTAGGGGGCACCACATTGGGCAGCACAGTTATAGACCACTGGAGTCCATGAATGAAAATATTAGACTATACTACATCAGTTTCCTAAGGAAAATTTTAAACCATGGGTTACTTACCAAAAGGTTTCCAATTAAAATGACCATCATGTAAAAAGGAACACAACTGAATTGGCCTGCTGTGTCAAAGCAATCCCATAGAGTCTCTACCCACTCTCCACAGAGAATCCGGAACACATTCAGAAAGGAGTGGAAGAAGTCACCCATGTGCCAGCGTGGAAGTTGACAGTCTTTGTCTAAGTTGTAGACATATGCTTTGTAACTCAAACCAAACAGCTTTGTGCCGACCACAGCAGAAAAGAACAGGAATGTGTACAACAGCAGGATCAAGTCTTTCAGGGCCACCAGTGACTTTATAAGAGTCAGCTTCAGAATCTCAAATGTTGGCCAGTATTTCCCCAACTTGAAAATTCGCAACTAATAGAGCAATGTAAAACACAGGAATAAGAAACAAAATACAAAAGAACTTGGTTATTATTCATTATGATATACATTTAAAATCTGTATCAGCATTATACATATTCAAATATATAATATTTAATGTAATATAAAGTTTTGAACATTTTAATATTAACCACGAACAATTCATTTTATGGACAATTCTAATACAAAGCATACATATTCTATAACTTTTTACACACAATTCATACATATTGATCTGTCAATGCCCATTCAATATTATGTTACAATTACTCTAGCTATATGTTTTAATATCTGGTAGGGCAACTGTCCCTTCTGTGTTGCTTTTCCCACTATATCGGGCATTTTCCCACATTCTGACATGTAGATGATATGGGAAAAACCTGTTATTTTCCACTGAATTCCATTAAAGGTTCTATTGTGTGTTTTCCTTTTAAAAAAACACATTAAAGACCAAACACAACATTCCAGGTTTAGTTTGAATATTTTCCTTCTTTTCACTAATGCATTTTTAATTGGTACAGCACAGATTACCTTAACATTTTAGCCACATAAATGAACTTGGTCATCTAAAATCCACACATCATTTTTATGTGCACTATCTACTGTCCTTAACTTTCCTAGTATATATTTGGCTTTCTGGATTCAAGAGTAGGACTTTACATTTATCCAAATAAAACTTAATCATCTTTTATTCATTCTGTTACTAGCCTTTCAGATATTTTGATCCAATCTTTGATCACATTTTCTGCATTTCCCAGTCTTGTTTCTGACATAAACTTGATAACTACATCTTGTACATATTTCTCTCAGTCATTCAGTCATTCAGTCATTAGAAAAGCTTATGGACAAGGATTAAAACAGGTTGCTCTTGATTCCTGCTTCATTCCTTCAACTTATTGCCAGAATGTGACAATATATTACTTATCAAATGCTTAATATTTTCATAAATATCATTCTAATAACATTATTATCTTATCTAGTTTTCTTATTCTTACCATCAACCTTCTTTGCGGACATACTGATTCTGACAGTAATTTTTATAACAACATTCTGCTGGCCTGACTGCTGTTATATAACGTTTTCTTCCCTGCATTTAGAAATAACTGGTTCCAATTCCGTAGTTACACATTGACATTCAGCTTCTGGGGCTCTTCATTACCTTGCTCCTTAAAACTGGCCCAGGACCCCTGGCCCTGCTTCCTAGAACTACATCTCAAATTTGCTACATATATGGCTTATTTTTTTTGAATGCTTTGGTTAAATAATAGCATTAGAGACTGCATACTTTTTCCTGGGGCAGTATTAACTCATGTAATACTCCAAATGTCCCAATGGTATTTCTATTACTATTCTTTCATTTTATGTTTGAGAAAACTGAGATAAATTTTCATAAAATAAAATTTAGGTCTTGGATTCTACTTACCACCCTGAATAATCGAAAAACATCCAGTCCATGAACATTTGCTAGAAAAAGTTCTGCTAAACCAAGGAACACAATTATGCTATCATAAATATTCCAGCCTACTTGGAAATACCCATATGGATGCATGGCAATTATTTTAAAAATCATTTCTGTTGTGAAAATTCCAATAAAAACCTAAATAAAAACAAAACACATGGATGAGAATATGATTGCAATGGCTCTTTGGAACCCTCATGCACAGAAACTGTAACTTTTTAAAGCCACAATCCTCACAGTTCTTCTGTCACTATCTGATTAGTTTTGGAGTCTATTACAACAGACTCATACATTTTACTTAATAATCTAATATTAAACACTGTATACAAAATCATCAATTACTTTTTAAAGCCAATCTGGAAGAAAATAAAAGAATGTTAGAGGGTAGAAAATCTTTTCATTTTGAATAGTTTCTTTTGGTATATGGAATATTTGTTAAGATATTTAATTTTTCAACTTGCAAAAGAATAAAAGAAGTACATATATGATCCAGAAATAAACAGGATGAAGCTATGAAAACTGACTTTTGAAAACTATATTGGAAGAAGTAATTTCTACCAAATTATGGTTTTGGTATCAAGTAAATGTATAATTCAAAATTAGTAGCAACATGGCTGTTTGTATGAACACCAATCAACTAACCAATAACAACTTAATAAAAAGGGAAAAAATTAAACACTATATATTTGCTTGAATGTGACTTGTTTTTAAATTCATACAAATCTGTTTTGTCTTTTGCATTGTATGGGATGAAAAAGATAGGTGAATCCCAACAACACCTTGCAAAGGATAAGCTCCAATCTAAGGCACAGACAGGTGGTGAGAGCAGACAGGGTCAGGTGCAGTTGTAGTCAGGATTCACAATCAGATGTCAGCGAAGAACATGTGTCTGCTATTTGACTTCTACCCTATTCTGATCTATGGGGATATGATGCCCAAGAGAGGGTATACTTGGGAAAGGAGAAGAAAGGAATAATTTCATGACTGCTAAGCAGCTGGCGAGGAATCCCAAATTTAAATGGCAGATTTTTAAACTCTAGGTATAAACCTATTCAGTGATAAGAACATTTACAAAGCAGGGCTGGGGACGGTGAAGTGGGGAAGCATGAACACAATACTTTATCTTGTGCTTATATAATGCATTTGCAACATATTCAAGTTATGAAATAAAATAATGGGATAATGACAACTAAAAAAGATTGAAATTGCAAATGAAAGTAACATAGAATAAGAGCCTTACCAGGTTTCCAATGCTGAGAACATTGGATGTTGTTGCACTCATTGGATAACATTCCATGGCCAAAAAATATATGTTTAGAATTATGCATATAGTGAGAAAAAGATCAGTAAATGGATGCATCATAATCACATGGACAAACTCTTTCAACTTTAACCAACAGGGAGAACAATTCCAAATCAAGAAAATTTTAGCAAATTTATACCAACACAATGGACATCTCTTCTGAGATTTTTTATGCTCTGCAATGAAAGAATAGTAAAGTGAAACTTTAGAAAATTGCCAAAGATAACTAATAAGAAATGACTTTTGCATATACTAGTAAAGAGAGGTTTGAAACTAGACTTCTGATTTGGAATTAGCAAAAAAGAGAAATATTTTATACTAATAAGCAGAGCAAAGTAAATTTCCTCTATTTTTTCATGGAAGTTAAATAAGACAAATGAAAATGAGACAAACTGTCTAGTGGAAGAAAAACATAGGAGTATCTGTCAAAACAACAAATATGGAATATAGCTGAGAACATTATAATTTATGATTCCTAGACTTATATACTTTACCAAATAATGCCCTTTAATACTGGCATAATAATGAGTTACTGGTTGTATGTTTAAAAAGCAGAGTCAATATAGAGAGGACCTTGATATATTAACACTTTCCAATGTTAAAAACACTATATTTATGGAATTTTTCTAAATTGTTCATCCTAATATTCTACTGTTATTCCTTAAATTTTAGTTATCATATAAAATTCTGAAGTCATTATAAAATTTCTTTAAAAGTGAATCTTATGAATAGTACCTTTCATAGTATTTTTTACTAAATATTTTATCTAAAATATTTTTTACTAAAAATATTATCTAAATATTTTTTACTTTACCTTCTTTATGTCTGATAGTAGCATCATCCAACATATCCAAAGAAGTGATCATAGAAGTTGGTGATCTTTTCTTCATTTCTATTTGTGTGGTCTTGGCCTAGAAAGAAATTTGATGAGTATAATAATGGCTTCTTCCCAAGATTATAACTATAAGAAGGTTTATAACCTCTTTAAATATGCTGATTTTTACTTCCAGAAGCTTTTTCTTTTTCTTTTGGAAAATGTGTATAACTTGCAACTTGACAAAATAATTGTATCCTATGAGGTCAACTATAAAAGGAGTAAATCAGAGAATGATAGTGGTATTACCCATATTTGACAAAGAATTCAATGTATAGTTTAAGATTATTGTGAAATATCCAGTTGGTAAGCATGCTATTGAATAGCAACAGTATTTCTCTAACACAGGGATGGGGAATGTCTGGCCCCTGGGTATAAGGCCCATGAAATTATTTGATCTGGCCCTGCCACAGCATTAGGAGTGAGTTAATTAAATGTTTGACAAAATATAGCAGGCTAATTTTTAAGTGGATAATTTTGTATGACCCGCAAATGATGTTATAAATATCCAAATGGCCCTTAGCAGAAAAAAGGTTCCCCACCCCTGCTCTAACATCTTAAATTTCTTTCCTTGAGACTATGTTAAACAATATAACTTTGCAAATTCTCTTGACAAAATAAAAATACAATGCAAATGAAATAAGTCTGGAAGAATGTCAAGTAATAGATAATTTTTTTTGAATTGTGTTGTTAGAACATATATGATAATTCCATAAAGGAATCACTTCTTTCTGTCTCTCATATCTCTTGAATAACAGTTTTAGATACCCTCTGCTTTGCTGATGTGGCTACATAGGGTTAAAAAGAATCCTTGCAATGAAAAGGCACTCACAACTCCTAACTTTGATGTCGAGATTATAACTTCTACACATTCAGTGTTACAAATATAGCTCAAGATGTTCCTAGTGACCATGTATAAACTTTGTAATTTGATTTAGACTGTAAGAAATTCATAATGGGTAATGATATTACACCATAGATTTCCCAAGAGTTTTCACATTTGGCACACACAAAGAATAATATTTATCTATTTGTTAACTTGGGATAAATAGGTGAAGCTACTCTTGGATAGAAATAACTATCCATGTTTAAAAAGCAGAGTCAATCTTATAGAGAGGACCTTAATATATTAATTACATATATATGTATTATATAGTATATATATTATGTAATACCCATATATATGTAATTACATACACACAGCTTGGAATACTCCCACCTTAACACTGAGGGATTTAGTAGATGAGGCTCACCAATAACCCATACACAATACACTCAGGTTGGCAAGTTCTGCTGTGGTCTATCTGAAGAGGCATAATAGATATGAAAGAAATCATATTCATCTCACTCAGTACCAGTCAAATCCCCTCTAATTTCACAAATAGTGGTGAAACCAGTTGTATTTCATACTGAGTTCCACTGGCAGATGCTGTAGGTCTACAAATCTTAGTTTCCTCCCCGCCTCCCTTTTTTAACTCAAAAAGTGAGCTAAAAACTGAGGATGTCAAGTTAATGTATTTATTTAAACTATGATTATTTAAGAAATTATTTTAGCTCACATAAAATTACATAAAATATAAGTTATAAATTATACAAGTCCAAATTTCCATGAGATAAAAAAAAATACATAAGCATACTTTTTTCCTGTTATTAAGATCTGATGAGGATTTCCCAAGTATATCTTTATGATGATGACACTTTGGTGATATAGGGAATACTATCTTTCACTATGCTCTTAATATAGAGAAATTACTTCCCATAGAGCTATTTCTGACAGTGACAATGATTCATGGAATCACACCAAAGAGCAAGTCAGTAAAGACAGTCTTCTGCGTGCGGAATGGATGGATGGAGTAGGGAGAATAATAATGTTATTGTTGATATAGTCAATGCCAATTTTCTACTAATTTGGGTTGAATATGGATGTATTTTAGAATACAAAATGAACAAATTGAGCTAAAAATATTAAATGAACACCCACGTGTGGGCTAACTCTTAAGGATACAGCTATTTACAATGCAAATTGAGAGGATCATAACAGTAACTCCTTTTTGGAAGTTTAAGAGTTAATCAGGGCATATGCCTGAATTTCAGACAATTCAATGTCAAAATTAGACTGGGAAAAGGGACTACGTTTCTCATAACAGGTTTAAATTTTCTCTGGAGGGAGGTGTGAATAAGGAAGGAAGAACACAGTCATATTTCTGGCATTAAGCAACAAATACCTGAAGTGTTCATCTTGGACTCAGACTTTCTCTCTTTACTGCAGCCACACTGACCCTGTTTTCTCTCCCTATGTAGCACGATCATTCCTCAGATCTCAACTCAAGTAACAGTTCCTCATAAAAACCTTTTCTGACTCAGAGAAATACTTTATTAGTCTCTCAAAGCAGCATATTACTCTCTTTATAGTTACAGGGGGTTTTTTTAGTAGAGAATAATAAAGTCAACCACCAGGAACCCAATATTCAGCTTCAACAATTAACAACATCATACCCTTCATTTATAATATATTATTCATCCAAGTTTCTTTCTGAAAGATTTAAAATCAAATTTTAAACATTTTTCTTATTTTTCAATTACAGTTGACATTCAATATTATATTCTATTAGTTTCAGGTACACAGCTTAGTGGTTAGACATTTACATAATTTACAAAGTGATCACTTTTTAAATCTAGTACCCACCTGGCACCATAGTTATTACAATATTATTGACTATACTTCCTGTGCTGTACTTTACATCCCCATGACTATTTTGTAACTACCAATTTGTACTTAGTCCTTTCACCTTTTTTACCCAGCCCTCCAACACCCCTCCCATCTGGCTACATCTGTTTCTGTTTTGTTTGTTCATTTGTTTTGTTCTTTAGATTTCACATATAAGTTAAATCATGTGACAAAGCATTTGTCTTTCTCTGTCTGACAGAATAAGCTTTTTAAGAAACATAATCACAACACCATTATTATCAGCAGCAAAATTAGTAATTCCTTAATATTATCCAATACCCAGATCATGCTCAATTTTTTTCACTGATCAGAAACATTCTATTGTAGTTGATTTGTTCCAATAAAAATACAAATAAGATCTACATATTGCACTTTGTTGATATCCATTGAATATCTTGAGATTTTAATTTATTTTTTCTTATGTGATTTATTTGTTGATGATACTTGTTCACTTATACTGTAGAATTCTCCACATTCTTTGTTTGACAGATTATGTCCATTTAGTGTAATTTAATCTGTTCTTCTCTCTCCTACTGTCCCTGGAAAAAGATAGATCTAGAGGCTTATTAGACTTAGCTCAAATTTTGGAAAATAATTTATTGTATGTGGTGTTTTATGTTTCTTATTTCATAACATCAGGAAAGACATAATGACTAGTGGTCCTAGAGTTACAATTTTGTGTCATGATAAGTTTATAGTCTATCTCCCCACTAGTTCATTAGCTTCATGAAGATAGGTACTATATTTGTATCTATTCAAGTTTATTTTTAATCTGCAGTGTTTTGTACAATGCCTAGCACGTAGCAGATCGACAAAGTGTTATTTAACTGGATAAATGAGTTATAGAAATGTCAGTTTAGATGGGCAAATAATTTGAAAATATTTATAATCCTGCAGTTGTATATATCTGATTCTTTTCCTGAGGTTTTGTCAGTAACTGACAACTTATAGAAAAGCTTTACTTGCAAATTGTGCAATTGATGGGATAATACTATTTCAGCATTGAAACAAGTAAAGTGGTGAACACTAGGTTCTTTTCCTATGTATTGAGAAATCAAATACTAATAAATACAGATTTATTGCAACTGGAACTCCTCAATGAGAATTACATTTGAGGATTCATGAAGGCACTCATGTGTCGGTACATATCTGATGATCAATAAGCATTATTTGCTATTATTGTTATTATTATTTTAAATTTCCCTAAAATGGGATATAGTCAGAGACTTAGAATTTTATGTTGAAGAAGTATTCTCCATATGAACTGCTGTGCCTTTTTGCGTTTGTCTTCTTGTGCTCCCTATAATTAGTCATTAACATTTTTCAGTTGCTCAGTATATTCCGAGAAATGCCAAGCACTTAACATGAATTTATTTCATTTGAATCTTATAACAACCTATGAGACAGATGCATACTATAGATTTTTACATATTACAGATAAAGAATCTGAAGTTTAGAAAAATTAACAGAATTGGCAATACATCCATTAAATGACTAAAACTGACAACAAAAACTGAGCTGTTAGCCAGTATGATCTATTGCTTTCCTATAACGTGAGAATATGAAGCATCTAAACACTCTCCCGATAATACCAACATTGGAATCTGACTCGTCTTCATTGAGATGGGTCACCTAAAGTGTCCTCAGTATGTTCCATGTTAAGTTCTCCCTCCAGTGTTTTTTTATGTATCAATCAAAAAAGAAAAGAAATCTTGTGAAAATGTTTTTCACTCTCACTTTCTGGAAAACCTCTGCATGACAAAATGTTCTAGTATTCTTCCAAGAAAAGAAATCCTTTACAATTGAGAATTTTAATGAAAATCAGAAAGGCTTTGTGTTATCCAGAGCAGCCAAATGAATGAGAATATTGGAAAATTAGGAAATAATCCAAGTTCTTAAGCAGAGTTAATAGGGCATCTCATCCTGGGATAAGAGCAGTATTGTGTTCTTGGATACATTTGTATGTTGCCCTTGACATTTGAAATGTCACTTCAAAAGAAATTACACATTCAACATATCATTCAGACTGTAATCATTCAATCTTAAGGACCCAAGACTCATTTCTAGAAACAGAAAGCTTTTGTAATTTGCTTTTCTGTGACTTCCTCATGGGTGATATAATGGCTATACTCAATAGCCTCTTGTTATACATGTTTTCTTCATATGGTGTATAATTGCTTCTTGTTTCAATGGTATGTGTGTTATAGATCATCCAGACATAAGTATCCTATATAATAAAGAACTAATATGCTAATTCGACCAAATAGCAGAATGACCGTCCAGGGCTGCGAGGGCCGAGGCAGCCAGGGCAGCGAGGGCCGAGCCCCTTGCAAGAATTTCGTGCATCGGGCCTCTAGTCTATCAATAAGTTGTCATTCGGTATGATCCTGCATCATGTCATCCAGGCCCCACTTTTGGAAGAATGACTTTCCTAGAGCTTCTTTATTGGTAACTCGAGGCCTAGTGCATAAAATTCATGCATAGGTAGGGTCCCTAGGCCTGGGATGCAATCAGGGCTGATCGGGGCCTTCTGGCTGCTGGCCAGGGCTTTCCTTCCCTGGCTACAGGCTACCGCCCCACCCCCTGCTGGTCAGCACATGTCATAACAAGCAACCAAACTCCCAGTCTCCCAGTAGAACTCCCAAGGGAACACTTTACATATTAGCCTTTTATATACATAGATGACTTGATAAAAAGGATTACATATGTAGATAAGTTAACATTTTCCCCTTTATGACTCAGAAGGAAACTTTAGTACCATGAACCTCCTAGCCAGCTTTACTACACATTCCAATTAGTGTCAGAGCATATATCTTGACCCTTTACTTTTACCCATCTCTCCTATATTGAGGAGATAAAAGGGCTAAGCAGTCAGGGACAGGACCTTGGGAGAGGGAGAAGAATGGGGAAGTCCTTGAATAACATGACCTTGCAGATGTGAACATGATACAGCTTTCTGACTGTACCACAGAGACAAACAAAAGGATCTAGAACTGACCCTTGCTAGCCAGAATTGCTAAGGCAACCCAGCTGGGCGGGAAAAGAAGGGCACATGGGAGACATGAGTTTTAAAATGTATGGATGTTGCTAAGACAGGCAGCTTGCAGATAACCAATCACAGGGATGTTGCTAAGGCAGGATTATTTGAAAGCACCAATTGGGAGCTAGCAAAGCATGCATCTACCCTACACAAAGAAGAACACACTCTTCTCTTCTCTCTCTAGCTTCTATGGCAGGGGATAGGCTCCCCTGTGCCCTTGTGGCTTATGACTGTGTGGGACTCCACACTTGGACTAATGGACTTTAATTAGCTTGGATGCTGAACTACACTTGGCTACAACATGGAACGGAAGCTCTGGGAACTGGCCTATTTTTTGAACCCCAGCTGCACCTTTTCCAGGACTGGCTTGGGGTGCATGGAACTTTGGGACCTGAGACAAAGAAGCTTCACCAGTAACCTGCTTTGGGCCCCTTTCCTGCTGCCACCTGTGGCGAGAAGTCCATCTATCACTCAATAAATGTTGCCTCTCTTAACCATTTTTGTTCGTGAATCCATTCTTCGCTTTTGTGAGACAACAGACTCAGACCAGAACAGAAAATTTGGCATCAATATGACAGGGTCCCTGGTATAGGGCCTTTCTATCATTTGTTAGCTCTCTCAGGCTATCCTTTTTCCATCTAATAGAGAATGTAGTTTGAGGATTTTTCCCTCCAGTGTACACAATCTTTATTAGCAGGTGTCAAGAGTACAAACTAGTAAAAATCCCAGAGGAATCCAAAGGAGGTAGGACATGGCTCCCTTCCCCAAGCTGAGGGCCTGTAACAAGACCAGTGGAGCAGAAGCACTTGACTGTGACCTGTGACCACTTTGGACCCAGCAGTCTTCAAACAAGATCCCAGGGGGGAAAGGAGCAACACCGTTGGAGAGGCCTGGGCTGGGTACCATCATGGGCTGCTTGGCCTCTGCTTCCAGCTCAGCTCAACAACTCCAGGTAGGGGTGTTAGGAGACTGGCTAAAACTATCCCTCTCCAAACCAAGGCAGAGGTGTGAGGTTACCAGTTCCTGTGGGATTTGAGCCAGCTACTTCTGGTTGTTTTCCTGGGTCCTATTCTCCCATTTAGCCAACTTTACCAGCACTATTTAGATTTTAAAAAATAAATTCCTACAATTTCTTTAATGCCACTTCTGTCATTTGTTTTGATTCATAAACAAAATATTTTGCTAGGAAGCTAAAAATCTGAAAATGTATTCAAACACAACACTAAAATCATCGAAAATTACAGTACACTCTTGTGAAGTGTTACTAATCATGGATTTAATTATTCCATGAATAAAATAATTCCTATATCATGGTGCATAGTGCATTTCCTTTTAAAGGAGCTAGAAAGCCAATAAAGAATTTTTTTTTCTCTTTTTAAAAATTCAGTCCTGTACTTTTATCCATGCTTTTAGTACTTTGCGATTTCTAAATTATGGAAAGCATTATCACTTTGAGTTGATCACAAAAATTTTCCAAATTATGATGTGCTATCTGAAGCAAGTCTAAATTAATAAACTATAACTGCATTGTGGGAGGTCAAGTTTAAATATATATGTATACTAGATGCCTGGTGCACAAAATTCGTGCATGGGAGGGGTCCCTCAGCCTGGCCTGCACCCTCTCTAATACAGGAACCCTTGGGGGATGTCCAACTGCTGGTTTAGGCCCGATCCCTGTGGGCCTGATCGTCCCTAACTTCCCTTCTCTGCTGGCCTGATCACCCCTAACTGCCCTCTGCTGCCAGCCTAATTACCCCTAACCACCTCTGCCTTGGCCCCTGCCACCGTGGCTTTGTCCGGAAGGAGGACCGGAAGATGTCTGGTCTATCCAGTCTAATTAGCATATTACCCTTGTATTAGTATAGATAATTTATCAGCAGCAGTAATACATGTTTTGGAACAAAATGTAAATATTAATGAAATATTAATGGTATTGGCTTTTCTTACCATAGTGCACTCAGGAAAGAATGTTATGTAGCAAAAACAAATGCTCTTATCAAAATCACTTTCAATCTTCTTATCATGCACCACACACCTATTGAGGATCTAGCAATATACTCTAAGATCTTGAGAAGATAACTCAAATTCTGTGATTCTAAGAAGCATTTTTAAAATTATACCTCAGCTGCTTCATTTTCTTCTTGAAGTAAAGTGTGCTGAAATTCTGTTTCAATCTTCTTAGTTTTTTCAGCAGCTGTCCGTTTTTCTTCTTCATAGGACATTGCAAGTATGCCCAAGAACAAACTTGCCATGTAAAAGGCAAACCAAAAACTTATTATAATAAAAAATATCATGTAGACCTTTCCAGAAGCATAAAGGATCTAAGGAGAGGTGGAAAACAGTACAAAAAGAAAGATGTTATTTGTCTTCCTGTAATCTTCTTTTTTAAAATAAAAATGTTTTTATGAAAATAATTTAGTCATAAGTGAAATGTAATCACAAGACAGTTCAAGTACTGGCTCTTGGAAAAATAAGCAAAACGAAGTTCAACTTTAGACTTATCTAAGGTATAAAATATATCTAATATCCTTTTATATTAACTATGCTACTAAAATAGCATTGCATATTCTACTGTGCGAAACTTCTCTGAATAAAAAAAACTGAATCTTTGTTTTAATTAATATTATATCTTCTTGAGAAACTATGGCACACAAATCATCAGTGATGAAGACAGACTTTCAGAATTTGGATTTCAAGTCTGATAACAGCAAGCCTTCTGTTACAACTGAGGCACGATTGAATATTAAAGAGAAATGAGGATATGAGAATTGAAAAGAAATAGCCCATTGTAGGTATTCAATAAATAATTATGTAATACTTGGTAATCTCATAGGTTCAAATTTGTGACTGAAGAATTGGTACCTAGAAATCTTCTTAACTTAGTTCATATCACAGAGCAGGACAGTGATCCTGTATATACCTGTGTTGTAACTTTGGAGAGGTTACCCAGCCACTGTGATCTTAGTGTCTTCATATAAAAATCAGATATATATATATATATTACTGTTATATCATTATTATTTTCTATAAAATGGGGATAGCTCTAAATAATAGGATTGTTGTAAAGGTTAAATGAGATGTCACACATAAGAGTAGAGACCACAACATAGTGTTAGGATATAGTTTGACCCATAATAATTCTTGTTCTCTTTCCTTCTGTCTTCAAATACTTCACATCAAAATGTAATAAACTATGTTACATTTGAACATTGTCTTGGAAGGGAGGGGCATGGTACCATTCTCATCTTCATGGCAGATTCTCTCTGTTCTTACCTGATGATACAGTGCTTCAGGGTAATCCTGCGTCATCAACCGGAATAGGGCTAACAAGGCCCAGCCAAAGTTGTCAAAATTTGTGTAGCCATTATCAGGATTCATGCCAGTTTTTATACACGCATATCCTTCAGGACACTGACTAAATAAAGAATACAAAGAAAAGAGCAACTGCTTACTTTTAGGTGACTTCCAGATTATGGCCAAATCATAAATATAGAACATTTGCCCATAAATAATAAAGGGCTCTTGTTTCCATAGGGAGCAATCTTCTCCCAAACAATTTCCAGTGGAAAGCTGCAAATGAGGTTGATTTTTAAGTTGGTATAAGTGAAGAGTGTTAATTAAGCTAAAAGGAAAAGAGGCCTGACAAGTGCTTTTTGCCAAGCCTTTGTTAAAGTTTTCTTTAGTACCCAATATCAAAGTGAAAGTATAAATGATGTAATATAATATAATAAAAATAAAACTGCACGAGTTAAGGGTTTAATTTTCAATTGGTCTCACCTCAAATCCTTAGATCCTTATTTCTTAAGGGTGAGAAAACATTTATTACATCAATAATTACAAGCAGTACTTGCACTACCATGGAAAGAACAAATACTATTTCATTTCCTTTTATGGAGTCTTCATACTTTTATCTACTGGGGGCTTGAGTGTTGTGGTCAATTATTACAGTAGTGGCCCAATAAGTGATGCTTCCCTCTATCCATGTGCATTCCTAGTTGCCTCAGACATTATTTTGGCTTTGGCCATGTGTCTTATTTTGAACATTGGTTAATGGTTAATAAATGTGATACAAACAGAGTATAAAAAGTAATTATGCATTGAGGCTTGCTAAACTGTTGATCCACATAATCTGAACAAATTAATATTTGTTCTTATCTTAAGGCACTAACTTTTGGGATCATTTACTCTGCAGCAAAGTATGATGGCTACAGGTGAAGTATTGCATGACTTTCTGGCCTTGAAATATATCATTGTGATTCTGGATATCTATAACCAGATATCTTCAATATGTGTTAGGAATGTCCACAAAGAGGGTTAGCTGGTGTTGAATACGACAGACACAATGGGATGAGCTCACAATTTGGACTTGAGAATAGAGTGTAAACCCAGAAGTAGCTGGGCAAAGAGTTGAGCAAGCGACAAATATCTAAATCAATCAAATATAACAAAACTGCATAATTTAGGTTCCTCTCCCCATCATGTGCCATTTGTCAACCTGGGCCCCTGAGCCTAAGAAAAAGTAAGCCTACAGATGGGCATCAAGTCATCAGCTGAGGGAAGTAGCATAAGGAACTCTGTAAGGCATTGCACTGTCAAGAAGCACTTTATTTCTACTTTCTTATCTCTTCATCTGAAATTATAGGACAAGACATGAGAGTTGTGTTCCCACTGAAGAATTATTTATAAATATTGTTTTCAAGAACAATAAGCTTTTTCTTAATTAAAATTATAGTCATAAAAGATAGATAAGCCATAAATAAGTGAAATAACAGCAAATCTTTAATATTTCTTTCATCAAAGGCTTGGGGCCAAAGAAAAGATTTTATTGTCTTTTTTGGTAATTTCCACTAGCTCTGAGGCACACTGAAAACAGAAAAAAATCAGATCTTGTTTAAGCCCCAGCTCTGCTGTTTACTAATGAGTATTATATCTTTCTTGACCTTAAACAAATCATTTAGCTAGCTTGGCTATTGTTTTCTAAAAAAAAAAAAAAAATAGAATTGGTTTAATAGCATTCCATACTATTCATTCTCAGCATGGTTTCAATGAAAAACAAAACAAAACAAAACAAGCAAACAAAACAAATGAGAGATAATCTAATCAAACCGGAACCATAAGTAAAGATAATAATTATCCAATAAATACAATTGATTGGTGATACTGACTTGACAGAAGAAAACTTTAACCTCACTTACCTGGCATCTGATCTGTTTCCACAAAGGAGAGCATATCTTTCTCCTTCCAAATAATAAAAGTTTTCTGTTTCTGAAAATAAGAAAGAAATTATATTCTATATCTAATTTTCTAAGCTTGAGTGAACAGCATATCTGAAAGCCATTTAAACCTCTATAGTGAGAAGAAATTAGCATATAGCTTGTTTTTTTAAATTTTTTTATTGTCTAAAGTTTTACATATGTCTCCTTTTTCCCCATTGACCCCCCCACCCCCG